CTAGCATATTCATGACTTGCATGCCGGCATAAGACAAAAAAATTATATTAAGTAATGAGAATTATAAATTGGCTGCAGATGTTCATCGTAGGAATAAATAATTTATTGTGGGAGACTATGTCATGGTTCATGTGTGTCCTGAACGTTACCTTAAAAATTCTTTCAAAAAGTTATATGCTCGAGCCACTGGTCCTTTTTGTATTCTTCGTAAGCTTGGACCTAATATATATCACCTTGACTTACCTTCAAATATGAGTATTAGTCATATTTTCAATGTGGAGGACTTGTTTCCTTATCATGGTACTTTTGAGCCTCCTATATTTCCAGCAGGTGTTCCTTCGGGTGGACTTGCTTCGTCATCAGCATCAACTACAGTTCCTATTCTTCCACCGTTTCCATCACAGCTGCATGACCAAATCACAGATGTATTTGATGATCAAATTGTGGGCTCCTCAGATGGAGGATATTGTCGTTATCTTATTCGGTGGAGAGATCGTCCAGAGACTGATGATTCATGGATTCCTGAGGAGGAGTTTCGTCGGCTTGACCCTGATCTTCTAGAGCATTATCATAATCGTATCTCTCCAGAGGCGAGTTCTTTTCAGCTGGGGGGAAATGATAGGAATCGGATTATATTTCGTTATAATAGGCGTAGGCGTAAGGATTAGGAGTTATTTGTCATTATGCTTTTCAGGGGTTTAGTTGTTATTATGACTATTTATTTCTTTTAGAGTTCTTTTAGGATTTGTGGTCTCCCTATATATATAGGAGATATGTTATTTGTTTTGGGTAGACTTTGATTATTGATTATTGATATTGAATCTTCTTTCTAAAATTCTCTCTCTATTCTCATCCCCTTCTTCTTTTCTCGTCCTCTTCTTCTTCCCTTTTCATCCCTAATTCGATCTACATCAATATGTCTTTCATTTCATAATCTCCGGTAAGTACATTATCATCAACCCACACGACGAGTGCAATCATTGTGTATGTAGATGAGTACAATGACACTTTTCTCTGGGAAGAATGCTTAATAAAGAAAGTATGATCTTCATGACTTTGATGATAACCATATATAGCTTAGGTGAATTTCTCAAATCATGCTCTTGGGGGTTGCTAAAATTTATACAACAAAATTTTCAGCCTACATACCTTGCTACTATCTGTGGTAAGTTTAAAGTTAGGTGGAACATCTATGTATATTTCTTTCTCTATCATTACTCTCCTGTTATTGTTCCAATTCAAATGAAGGACTGGAAGAAGAAATTAATGGTCTGTTTAAAAATGCAGAAGGGCAAGATTGTCTTAACTCCATCGCCTTGCCCAACGGTTTTCTTCCCATTCAGGTAATCCTATGTCGCTTCCGAGGATTAAAATTTGGTTTCAGTGTATTGTTTCAGCCATTTAAAAAACAGAAACGTTTCGACCCTGTCAGAAACATAATGAAAAAATAAAAAATTTAAAAATTATTTTTTTAAAACATTGATCAAAATATATCAAAGTACCTTAAAATAACTTGAAACATTCTGAAACAATTGTGCAAATGCATTAACATATTATAAAACATATCGAAATATTATAGAATAACTTAAAATATTAGACACTGATTCGTTTTGGTCTCCTTGAAAACGGAAACGTTTCGGACGTTTCGACTGTTTTGAAACGATATATTGATCCTTGATCGCTTCCTATTCTTGATTTGTCTAATGAAAAAGATAATAGAACAAACTCATATTTATCTTCACTCTAACTCTCCTTTTGAAGAGATGTCTTGGGGGAAAATAAGCTACCGTTTCAAAGAAGGTATCATCCATAGAGACAAATCTGTTGCCCGAAGGAGGATGAAAACATTTGTACTTGTTTTGTGTGGGTGAATAACCTAGAAAGATGCATTTGGTGGCTTTAGTATCCAATTTATTTCAAAGACAAGTAGAAACATGGACAAAGCAGATGCATCCAAACACCCGAGGAGGAATTGAGAAACACTCCAAAAAAGAAGAGGAAGGACAATGAGAAGAAAAAGATGATAGAACCTCAACAAGTGCCCGAAAGTTCAGAACTTGATAAGGCATTCTATTGGCGAGATTTGTTGAGGAAATTATAATAACATCTTCCCAATACAATTTGGAAACATTCTAAGAAAACATCAAGGCAACAACTTTCAGTAGATAATAAGTATTCTCTCATCAACCCCATTCTCGTGAGGTGTATCACTACAAGTTGTTTGGTGAGTGATATCATACTCCACAAAATAGTAACGAAGTCCCCTATAAACATTCTTACCATCATTATTAGAATGACCAATTTTTAAGTGAGAACAAAATTGACTAAACACAATTTTATGAAATGTTTGAAAAAAAGAAGACACTTCATTTTCTCTTTCAGCAAGTAAACCCAAGTAGTACAAGCAAAATAATTCATAAATGTCACAAACCATTTGAAACTAGACAAATTAGCAACCGGAGAAGGGGCAGTATTCATATGAAGGAGAGTAGAATGTGCAAAACTTTTATGGTAACTAAATGGATATTATACACTATGGTGTTTTGCTAGTTCACTTTCTTCATAACAAAATGTAAAGTCATTCGGTCTAGAAAAAAAGGATGGAAACAATTTTTGCAGCAAGAGGAACAAAGGATCTTCTAATCTCACATGTAGTAACCAAATATGCACCTCAGACGTATCACATCGTTCTGACTTATGAGCTTGTGACTGCCATTGTCTTGAGAATCCGGAACGTAAAGACCATTTCTCTCCTTACCACTAGCACTTGTCTTTCTCTTAACAAGATCATGGAAGACATAGTGTGAAAGAATGGATGTTACACTATCACTTAATTATTTTGTGTTACTATTTTCAGAAAAAATATTATTAGAAATGGTAAGGACCGGAAAAAGACATGTGCTAGATATAGAAGTAAGGGAACCATCAGGTATTTTAACCTCTTGTTTTCTAGAACAAGTTGTGTAAGATGAGAACAAAGGGTTTGTTTGGTTGCCGTATTAGAAATGGATGGATTAGATAAAATAATTCAGTCTAATACAATACAGATAAACAAAAGACATGATTAAATAGAGATTAGAATAATATGTAGTTTTATCTAGTGTTTGACAATACACAATATAAACGTTGGATAGTGGTTATTTGATCCAATTGGTTGTTTGGTTAGGGAATTATTTCATCGTATTAATGTTAAATAAACAAAAATACTCTCAATCAGTGTTTGTTACATTTATGACAACTTGATTTTATCAGTTGAGGGTTATAATAGTAAATGTGTAGAATAATACGTTTGAGTTGGATTATAATACTACCTTTCGTGGTGGTATTAAAATACCTCCATAATACAGGTCTATTGTATAAAAAATATACAATAAATATACGATTAGTCTACATTTTTAAAATTAATACGATATCAAATTTGTTTATCAATTAAAGTATTAGGCCCGATTAAATAAAAAATAGTACAATCGAATATTTGATCTCCTCATAATATTTCTACAAAATGAGCCCAAAGTGGATAATGCCCCGAATTGATGATCCAGGGGCAAGAGAAAATATTAGATGATGCACTCAACCCTGTAGTTATGTTACCTGATTGGAAAAGGAAGTGGAAGTAGTAGTGGGGGTGTCCAGTTTGGATGTAAGATGACAAATATTCTCCACTTCTTACTTAGTAAGGTCATTCTCTCCACTGCAGTTGATGCAGAACTACTGGGTGTAGAAGTCTTAACAGTGGTAGTAAGGTGAGGTTGAGATCCTCCTGTTCCACCTGAGCATCCTGCTTTACGCCCAACCTTAGGAAGACTATGCAATCTTCAGCGAATGAATATAAGAGATTATTGACAAAAAGTACTCCAAAAATTCCCATACATTCAGTACCCGTTAAAGAATTTATAAGGTTATATTCCCCTCGTGCTAGCACCACTACTTTTCATCTATTAAGTGAGGAGGCAACACCATGATTAAACAACTTAGAAAGATGCAAAGATTACTGAATGATTCATTCTTACTATCATATGATCTATGGTATACTCACAAGGTAGTGATTTCTATAATGGCCAACAGTAGAGAAGAGTTTTAATGGTAAATATGAAAGGCAAAAGGACCCCCTTAATGGTTGCTTTGCAAGATCCCTACACCATATGATGAATAGAATCAATATCTCAACTGAGTTTCTACAGCTGATTTTGTCAATCCGAGAAGAGATTCACAATGGTACTGACGATAGAAGCTATGGTGATTTGAAGAGCCTATTTTCTCTAAGACTTCGGATCTCCAGCACCCATTGCTCAATGACCAACACAAACCTCAAGAAACATCACGTGTGACCAAATTCCCACAAAGTTTCCTGGACTGAAGATATTTGCAAAATTCTAGGTGGAATCTAATTGTAAACTAGCTTGATGATGAAGGATTGCATAGAAGTTGTTCAAGAGGTGCCAATGTCTCACAAAAAACCAGAAGCTCCGTTAGAATTTTTGAGTTTTTTGCTATTGGGTTCATGCGGGTGCGGGTATCTAATCACCTTCCCTTCTTTAGCTTCTTACTGTAGAAGTATTCTAGTTTTATCATTAAAATTACTATGAAGGCATTTTTGTCACATAATATTTTACCTATAAATATAAACTACAAAGGAGGACCCTATTTCTCCTCTCTTTTCAGCAACCATCTTTCTTCTTCTTGCTCTTCTTTCTTTTTCTGTTTTTAACCATTAAAGGCAGTTTGTTTTTTCAGATTTTTTATTTATTTTTTTAATTTTCCGCCACAAAAAAAAAACCATCATGGTTGACTCAGTGAGGGCACCACGACTTTTTTTTGAAAAAGTTGATGCATCTTACCTATATTTCTTTATTTTTTTGGAAAGATATGGCTTTTTTTTAAGAAAAATTAAATCTGATCTTTTTTTGGTGGATTCTTCACTTGAAACACAGTCAATGGGTGCCCACTAAACGCATCTAGGGCTGCCGAGTGGTCTATATTGATATTTTTTGTGTGGATCTATGGCCTTAAAGCTCTCAACACTGAAGTTTTTGGTTCTATGGGATGCGCCGACAGAGGTTTTTGATTATTTCTTTTATTTTTCAGACTTGATTATGCCTTGTTGAGATAGTAGTTGTGATTCTTATTGGTATTTTTGTTTGTTGAGCTATTTGATGCATCTGGGTTTCTTTACTGGAAATTGAAATTATATTAATGATTTGATCTTTAGAAATAATCAAAAGGTCTTGTAAGTTAGGTAGGGCATCAGAATGAAAACCTCACCCTACAGATTACAACTATAAAGCTTGATGACCACCATTATTTTGCTTGGTCTGTTGTTTGTCAGGACTAAGCGAAATATGTGTTATCTGACTGGTAAAACTGGGAAACCACAGACCGATGTTATTTGACTTGGTTGTAGCCTTCTCTAAATAGAATTCTTCTTTTATCCAAGAAAAATTCTTAAAGTAGCTGTTTTTACAAAATATTCTTTGTAATTTTCTGCATTTCAATGCCATAAGTTGATTAATTTTTCTAGGAATCGCGTTTGAATTTTGCTGTATGCTGCTGAAGTTAACTAAAATGAGTTTTATATGCTGTATTTTCATGCAATTAACTTTTTTTGTGCAAAATAAGATTTGTATTTGAGATGACATGTTTCTTTTGTATTTGCCAGAAAGTCTGTAAAATTTGTTGCATTTAGTTGTCTTTGCATCATAATTCGTAATTTCCTCCAAGTATCAATTAACTTGTGCTTCGCTTCGATGAAGCCCACGCTTTGCATTGTGCCCAAGTCCGAGGAGACCTTGTCGCCTTGGTGCACTCTTCCCCTTGCTTAACACTGTGCTGGCTAAGCAGGAAATAAGCAAATCCAAACTCTCACAAATTATATTTTCATTTGATTTTCTCCAACTTCTAATGGTGACTAGCAAACAGTTTGTCACTGGTCTTATTATTATTATTATTTTTTTGTGTTTGGTCTTATTATTATTATTATTATTTTTTTGCGTTTGTTGGTCAATAGCCTGATTAACTTTGATGTAAATGATAATCTTCGTTGTCTTATCAGATCCTCTTTGCAAAGTGAATTTCACAGTGTTGTAACTAGCATAACTGCCTGAATCCCTTTTCATTACTAGTTAAGTAAAACATTCACATCAAGGTGCACCAAGGTCTCTTATTGAACAGTGAAAACTAGTTGTATTGCAACTTAACTAAATGCTTACTTCTGCAATTGGAAAGTGGTACTACAAGTGCACTAATTTTTACGTTTTAAATCTTTTTGTAGGAAGTTGTCATTATGCACTGGGCATGTTCAAAGATATCAGCATCATTAGCCATTCCTGATGCCAGTCTCCTTGAAATCTTACTTGACAAGGTTTGTGCTGTGTGTCGTAATTGCTTAGATAATCCTGAGATGAATCTAGGCTTCTGGTCATTGGTTGTCATTCAAATATAATTGGTGAAATTATGTTTTTGGAGTTGCAGCTGAGGCTATGCAGAGGCATATCTTATGCTGCCATTGCTGCTCATGCAGATAAGAATGGCCGGCGCAAGTTAGCTGCTATGCTCATAGAACATGAACCCCGCTCCTCCAAACAGGTTGTTTTTCATCTTTCTTTTCTTTTTATTTTATTTTTATCCTGTTCTCTTCCCTTTCTTTCTTACTTGCTTCTATTTTTATTTTTATTTTCAATTTTGCCTATTTTTTTGTTTGGGTGGGTTGGGAGAACTTCTCTATTAGAACAAGATTGTTTCTTGGTTTTAATTGATTTCCATTTGTTGCCCAAAATTAGATACCTTTGACAAAAACTCATAGCTGCATACATTTTCAAGAGGAGTTCAATATATTATAATTATGGTGTCTCTTTAGGTGCCTCTCTTGCTAAGCATAGGAGAAGAAGATACTGCACTGACAAAGGCAGTTGAAAGTGGTGATATGGATCTTGTTTATCTTGTCCTTTTTCATGTTTGGCAGAAGGTATTACTTCTATTAAACTCACAAGTAATTTATTGTACTTTCCACATTACTAAAAATCAAACTAAACAAAAATACATAAGTTGAAGCTTTTTGATTTTTAATATATTTTTTCTGTTCTATAATCATTTCCATTACTACAGAGACCGCCCTTGGAGTTTTTTGGAACAATACAGGGTAGACAAGTGGCACGTGATTTATTTGTGACTTATGCAAGGTAAGCAAATTTTATTATAAGGTTTAGTCATACTTGCATTCCTTTTTTTTAAATACATCTTGGTTGTGAAATTACCATCAAATTCAAGCTTCTTCTATCCAGACGACTTGCTTTCTATTGCATGAATCCTCTCACCAGTGTTTTTCTTTTTTTGGTTTCAGGTGCTATAACCATGAATTTCTGAAGGACTTCTTCCTTTCAACTGGACAGCTTCAAGTAAAATTTGAGTTTTATTTACTGTTGGCCAAAATCCTTCTCTAGTATTTTTTTTGGATTCTCGTGCTCAAAGAGTAAAGTCTTAGTCGGAGGAAGATATAAAATTTGTCAATGATATGTTGTCTTGTATATATATGCCAATTATGTGTGATTATTCAAAAATTCAGACTTCGAAAGTGGCAGGCAGTTGGATTTTTGTACAAAGCAATAGATATTTTTTTCTTCTTTCAGCAGATGGTAATCCTTTCCCAAAGATTGTTTGGCAAGTTGTGTTTCTATAATTCATTCTGATATGGGTGGCATTCCACAACTGTGAGAAGTTTTAATAATCTTGTCGTACTCCTTGAGATATGTGTAGGTGTGGCTGTGACTTCATTTTTCACCATGTGTGGGATGCTTATTTTATATTTTGTACATGATGTGCCTGAAAATCAATTATGTTATATAGCATATAAATTTTACATAGACTGCTCACAACTTGTATGTTCTATGCTAAGAAATACGGACACGGACACGAAACGGCATGGACACGCAGACACAATCTAAAAAAGTAGGAGTGAGACACGTTGGGGATACGTTATAGATAATTGTATTGTATGTTATATATAAATTATATAATTTGTCACAAATATAGTGATAATAATATGCTATTCATAAAAAAATTAGTACTTTATGATAAATAAATGTTATGTCTAGCCATTTAGAGTGAATTTTTAGACTAAAGAATCATTATAGTCAAATAATCATAATTATTTTTGTAGACATGTACCCAACATCTATAGGTTGAATGAGTTCTCTCATTTTCTCAATTTCTCATGTTTAAAACTTTAACGTGTCTAGTTTTGGTAATTATATATTCTCTCATAGTATAAGATATTCATTAATTAAATTTTTAAGTTTTGTTAGTCACATGTCAACACATGTATATTGTTTAGTAGTTGACACAGTCTAAAGATGTCGTCATAGAAGTGTCGAACATGTGTTTGAAATTATAATTTTATCATTTAATTATGGACAAAGATAAAAGAGTATAGGACACGTGCCTGAGATTATTGGAGGAGTGTCGGTGTCCGACACGGATACATCACTTTCTTGAGAGTGTCTGTGCTTTATAAGTTCTATGCTAACAACTCTATTCTACTTTTTCTCTTCTAACGGAAGGTTCTAAAATCGTAGGATGTTGCTTTTCTATTGTGGAAAGAGTCATGGGAACTAGTGAAAAACCCAATGGCAACTAGAGGATCTCCACTTCATGGTCCACGCATTAAACTTATTGAAAAAGCTCAACATCTTTTTACAGAAACAAAGGAACACATGTTCGAGTCAAAAGCAGCTGACGAGCATGCGAAATTGTTAAGGTGAGTTGCATCTGTTACATTTCTTAGGAGAACTATTTCCTAGAGTCAAAAGCAGCTGACGATCACTTCAGGGCTTGAATGTCGAATGAAAGTAGTGGCAGTCTCTTTGGTTGCAATACAAGGCCGATGAGGATTACTAGTAGAATTTTAAAAATTGCTTCTTTGGTGCTACTGTAGTCTATTTACTCCTTTTTATTTTGATACCAAGAGATCGTTCTTTTTTCCTTGTTATATTTGGTACGATGAAATATTGCATTTACTAGTTTCTTGTCTTGCATGTTCCCCCCCCCCCCCCACCCCCCCCCCTTCCNAGTTTGCACATTTGACCAAGACTATGAAGTAAACCAGGAGGAGGAGCCATAAAGACCTCTTCAGTTAAATCTCCATTAAGAAAGACATTTTTCACATCCATTTGAGAAAGACACCTTTGATGGCTTATTCACTGTACGAACAGTGGTCATCTTAGTAAGAGGAGCAAATGTCTCTTCATAGTCTATCCCATACTCTTGAGCAATTCCTTCGGCCACCAATCGGGCCTTGTATCGTTCCAAAGGACCATCAAATTTGGTCTTGATTTTATAAACCCACTTACAACCAAGCGTGTGTTTCCCAGAGGGTATTGACATAAATTTCCAAGTGCCAGTCTTGTGTAAAGCATCAAGTTCCTCATCCATAGCCTGTTTCCAAAGAAGATCAAGAATAGTCTCTTTATAGGAGGTAGGTTCAAAAAGAGTGTATAGAAGCTAAGAAAAAACAAAAATTATTAGAATAATAAGAATTAGAGAAATCAAACCGATTTGGACATTTACGAGATCGTTGAGGATAACGAGGAACATGATCCACATTGTTAGAACCTGACTGAGTGATAGTAGAGGAGGAGGGAGGCACTGCATCTGTAGAAGATAGCATTGGAGTTCTGCGAGCATAAGTATATACAATACGGGACGAATGACAGAGAAATCAGAAGTAGAAAGCACGTCAAAAATAACCATGTCATTAATATAGGTGTCAGAGGGAACATCATACGGAAATGGGTCATTATCGCGGTAAGAACTGTTTTCTCTCAAAAAGAATTTGGGACATTTGCAGAAAGCAAGAGAGAACACGTTGTCTCCATAATATGTCGATGTTTGCGCTCTACTACACCATTTTGTTTAGGTGTGTCAGTACAAGAAGGTTGACAAACAATGACATTAGATTTTAACAGATCATGAAAGGAATTGTAAGAATATTCATCTCCTTGGTCACATCGAAAGCATTTAATAATATAGGAATATTGAATACGTATCATAGCACGAAATGCAGTGAAGATAGAGAAGAATTCAGAACGATGCGTCATTAGATAGACCCAACAATACCCAGTATCCCCCCCCCCCCCCCCCCCCCCAAAAAAAAAAAAAAACCCACCACACTTTTCTCCTCCAACAAAACAACCCCCCCAAAAAATGCAAAAAAGTTTGTTGGAAAGGAGGATCAATTTTGCAGTTCACTGCCCATACCCTTTTTTTTTTTGATCCAATCCCATACCCATTGTTGAACTTCAAAATTTTGAACAGTTTTCTCTGGTCCTATGAATTCTTGAATTGTTGTTGTATGACAGTTTTTGCACTTCTATCGAGTTGCTCACCACTGACTTTGCAATTACAGAATGCAACATGAGTTAGAGGCGGCTACAAAGCAAGCTATTTTTGTGGATTCTAGTATCAGTGATACAATTCGCACATGCATTGTACTTGGAAATCATAAAGCTGCCGTGAAAGTTAAAACAGAATTCAAGGTCTGAACTTTTCACTGATAAGTGAAATTTACAAAGGAAATATATTTCATTAAGACTGTGGAGATGAAATTCTTCAGTAGCTGCGACTGTTTGGGTGATCCTATTTTTGTGCTCCTTTTAAATTTGCCTTGTGCTAATTTTATTTAATTAATTTCATTTAGGTTTCAGAGAAGCGATGGTATTGGCTTAAAGTTTTTGCATTGGCAACAGTCAGGGACTGGGATGCCTTGGAAAAATTTTCGAAGGAGAAAAGGCCATCAATTGGTACTACTGTTTTACTTAATTAGCTTGAGCTTGCAAACTAAAGAAACAGACTTGTTATTAATGTCCTTGTTCGAAACTAATGCCTGGACGGTTGTTTCAGTATTGCGGATCCAATGTGTGTTGCACAGTAGTGTTTTGCAGTGTTGAATGTCGAGTGGGAATGGTAGAACTAAGATTGGCATGAAATAGAATTATCCACGAGCATGTTTTATACATAGTTTATGTATGGTTGCCTAGCATTTGTTGTTGGAAGTATTGCCCAATTTTTTTTTCTATTTATAGACAATCATTTTATTACAATAACTCATCAAAATGAATTGTGTTCTAACTATCTGATTCGGTGCTTTAACGTGATTAAAGGCTTATGATTTCCATAGGAAAATTTTGGAAAGTTAAAACACTATATTTTCTTATATTCCTAATCTATCCTCCTGGAATTGGGCAGGAAGCTTTTAAATTGAGACTTTCCTGAAAAGTGGTTTTGGAAGTGATAAGATAGTGGAGGATAGTCTTTGAAACTCATTCTTTCTTGCTAAAATATTTGTACATTTGAAAATTATTTTCTGAAAAAGTTAATACGCAACAGTTATGGGATAAATGGAGTATATTGTGGGTCCCATGGCATGAGCTACACAGCTGCTTGCCCCTTTCAACCACTAGGAAGAAAAGAGAGGGGGGGGGGAGAAACTCTACCATAAACCCTTCACCACCCGATGCCCCTCATTAGGCCAAAGTTCTAGCCATAAGACAGATGATTCAACGTGGCCATTAGTGGTACCATCGTGTGGAAATTAGTTTATCAAATAGAGGGGAGTTAGTTTCATTAATAGATGCCCTATAAAGCTTAAATTTATAGGAGGGCATTTTCACAGTGAGAATCAGTACCTTTTTGATAGGTGTGTCTGAAATTATTTTCTTTAGAGGAGTCATTTTTTAAATTTGTCAATCAGCCTTGAATTTGTTATCTCTTATTGGGCTTCTTATTTCCAGAAACCATTTCAGAAAGGTTATCTTTCTTTTTTTTTTTTCTCTTTTTAACCTTGTTTATCAAGTTTTTGATGCAAAAATGTTTGTAAAGTTGCCTGTGTAAAGGTTCCATACCAAAAAGTGCATGTGGTTCCTCATTTTGTATTGAACATAGAAAGAAGCATGCTTTTTCATATACTTTAAAAAAAAAAAAAAAACCCTGAAAAACAACTGTTTATAGTTGTATCTGCTCCTTGCACTTAGAATTCTTAAAACAAACATTTTTTATTTTTTTGTGGCATCAATAGGTTATCGGCCTTTTGTGGAGGCATGCGTCGATGCAGATGAGAAAGGCGAAGCTCTAAAATACATACCAAAACTGGCTGATCCTCGAGAGAGAGCCGAGGTAATTTGAATATGGATGAAGTATGTGTTTAGTTTTTATGCAAATGTCAGAATTCACCTATTTCTTTAAGCCTTCTACTAAAGTGAATTGATGCTTTCTTTGGCTGCTCTACTTGTCAAAAAAATAGATTATAATAAAAAAACTGGGATAAAACAGTTTGATCAGAAGCAGAAAAAAGAAAGAAAGAAAGAAGTGGAATCCTACTAGGCTTTATGGTAATTGGAGATGTAAAACTTGATTCTTCTTTCCTTCCTTTCTTTGCTGGCATGGTGTGAAGTTAGGATTTATTATTTCACTTATTGCCTTAGCTGATTAGCTTCAACAGATTGAAGGGCATGTGATCAGCCCTTATCGACTATTTTTATATATTGACTTCGTTGATTAGCTTCAACAGATTAAAGAAGATGTAATCAGTTCTTATTGACCAAATTTTGTGTCCAACACATCCACACACCATACTATTTTGGGCACATTACTTTGAATTATTTCTAAAAAATGCTCAAGGTCTATTCTTATATACTGCATAGGCTTATGCTCAAATTGGCATGGCCAAGGAAGCTGCTGATGCTGCATCTCAAGCTAAAGATGGTGAATTGCTCGGACGATTGAAGTTAACTTTTGCACAAAATGCAGCAGCTTCAACAATCTTTGATACTCTTCGAGACCGGTTGTCCTTCCAAGGCGTTTCCTAGTCTTGTCCCTCCCATCATTTTCTTTTCTTCGAATTCCTCAAGTTTCTTTTGGTGTGTTGCTTTTGTATTGTCTTCAATTTTATGTGGCAGAATGAATGTCAGGACTCAGGAGGGCAGCTTCGCTTTCAGGCATCTTGTACTTCTTCATCTTCTTCATTTGCCCTGATCAATTTTTGCCGAGAAGACTGCTTGCAATATTTGTATCTTTCTTTTCCCTTTATATTTTCCCACTTTTTCCTTGTATATTTAATTTATCGCCCAAACAGTCCTGCGCTTTATGGTTGATTCCCTGCTAATGGTTGTCTTGAAGTTATGTATTTTTGATAGAATGAATTGGAGAACACTAACGAATTCTAAACTTGTAAAGCTTTTGCTTTGTCCTCATGTTCATGTAGTTTCCAACATTCATGGTTGCTACCTTGAATTTTTCCTTCTTTTTTTTCTTTTCTCCGATTGATTTGTTTTATTCACTGCTTCTATGTGGCAACACTCCACAGGCAAACTATGATGAAAACTCCACACAAAAACTGAAGGAACAAAATTCCACTATGTGGAACAAGTTGTTGCATTCTATTTCCAAAATGTCAGCTAATGTTACGAGATTCAACATAGAATACCAGTTTGTGGTTAGGGTTGTCTTCAATGACTCACCCAACAGAAGAAATCTTTATTGGGACTCTGTTTTGTGAAGCTGAAATATCAAGAACGTTGGGTTATGGTTCGGACTCTCGGTTTCAGTTTCAGGTAGGTTTTGCACCATTTTAGATTTACATATAAAATGCAACCATCTATATAATAAAAATAAGTTTACAAATGCTGTCAAAAAAATAAATTTTGCTATTCGACCAACTTCCAAAAGAATGAATACAGCATGCAAAAAAAATTATATTTAGATGTTTTCTCTTTCTCAAAAAACATACAAATATTTTTTTCAATTCATCCTCATTCAAATAATAAAAAAATTGAGAAAACATATTTACCTGAAAAATATCGCTTCATAGGTTCTGATGTTCATTGTTTCTCAGTTGAGCTTCTACGTCTTCTAATGCTCGTAAACAGATTGAGTCATTTTCAATATATTCTAACAGATTGTCTAATTTTATCATATCTATAAAGTCATTCTTGAACTTCATATGAATGAAATCAATCAGCCATATAAATGGAAGTGTGCTAATAATAGCATACAACGTAATTAGATTATTCAAATTGAAACTTTTTTGTTTCAGTTTGTAATATAATGATTCTTTTTTTTTTTATATGGTCTGTGACATTTGATTCTGGATTCATTTTATCTGTCTCAAACTGTATCCATAATGGATGGATATTGCATTTCGCTTCTATTAATAATTGTATATAAATTGTACTACACAGGTTGGTCTACACAGGTTAGTCGGTCGTGATTAAAAAAAAATTTCTTTGCAGAATCCCAGGTGGCGGGAAGAGTATCTATTTCTGCATAATATAGTCTTCACTTATGTTTTCTCTACGTTTTGTAGCATGCAGCCTAATTTAAATTTTTCCAATCCAAACTCAAATTGGGGTTCCATCTTCAAAAGAATCATTTTCAAATTTATCTACTATACTTGATAATGCCAAACATATACTACAACATACATAGATAAAAGGTCGTTCCATGTTATCTGTAAATAATATAAAAGTTACAAATTAAATTGATAGTAATAAAATTAGCAACAAGTTAACTAATATTACAACAACAAAATATTTTTTTACTAACACATGGTCTAATATTGTAAGAATAAGAATAACAACTCACCAACAATATGTTATTATACGTATTCTTGATAATCATAAACATACAATAATTAAATCAAAAAGGTAGACAAAAAATATAAATTAATTCATATGAATTAAATTCAAAAAATATTAAAATAGTATGTATTATTCATAAACATTAACTGAATGGTTTAGCCTTGTAGCTTGTGATTGTTTTTTTTCTTTATCACCTCCTTGAGCATGTATGTATCGATACATATGATAAACACCAAGGTGGGAGAATACTCAACAACCTAATTATATAAAAACAAGGGGAGCAAAATGAATCTTAGTAGAATTGACCATATCTAAAAATAATATATTTCGTTGCAAGAATGCAAGACTTAATTTACCATATCATCACATCCCGAAGACTTAATTTTCCTTATTATCACGTCCCTATTGATGCAGTGTAGGTTTATTTAATCTTTTTTATATATCTTGTCATTTCACACTAATCCTACAAAAATTAAATCACACAATTAATCTAAGCATTGATTATTTTAATCCTTCCGTCTTCAATATAGATAAATTTGTAATGAAATGGTACCATTTATTTGCAATCGGATAGAAAGTCCAACAACAAAACTTCGGGGTAAACAATGTTCATTGCGCAATTCGACCCATCTTCTAGAAGGACACTCATGATTAGAAGATATGCATTTAGATAGTGCCACATACAGGTGTTCATGGCTAAATATTGGTATGCGCAGATCGACCCCAATGAATTTTGCAAATTGTCCTTGAGATTTGTTGATTATCATAACATACGCCAATTGAACAAAAAATTGATTCTTTGTCATCTGAAAAGGCAAATTTAGAGATGTTGGTGACAAAGGTTTTCTTGGAATGAAGACCAAATTGCCAAATTTATCTCCAGTTAAGATTTGAGCTTTAATTACGCGAGTGACACATCTGATAACCATCAATTACGTGCCATTGCAAAGTCCATCCATCCTTTAACACTATATTTATCCACAACATTATTGAGCAACCCACCTTCAAGTCTAACTTAAACGGTGGTAACCCAGAAGGGTCTAGTGATTTTAAATACCCATTAGGATATCAATTTATGATGGATCAATCAATTACATCATCGTCGGCTATGTGGTCAGCATTTATAGCACTAACGTCACCATTCCTTGTAGAAAGAATTGTGCACTCAGTTTGGAAGTCCAGGATCACTGAACCAACCATATCCAAATGTGAATAGATTTTAAATATTAATTCTTCAATAATATGACACTTGTGTATTGTTGGTGGAAGTTCCACGATTTCTTGTGGATTGGTTTCAACCTAAAAATGAGAAGTAAAATCAGAGAATAAGAATAATAATAGTAATTCCAAATAATATGTTATATAACTAATGACCAATGAAATATTACCTCCATTAAGAATTTTGTAAATTTAGCATTTTCAGAATTTATGTAAATTAAATGCATATTTAACCCCAAAGTTAAAACATGTATATTCCTCCATAATACAAATTGCCTCAATGACACACCTACAATTTGCTCGCGGACTTCGTTTGGTACTGTAATGTCTCAAAATTCACCCTGCAAGGCATTAACTATCTATGAAACATCCAACCTTGAGAACATACTAAAATACCATTAAATAAATAAAACAATTTATAATCCAACATTTGATTAGATACATCCCCAAAGAAAACATAAATAAATCATTAACATAAGTAAATTGTTAAATATAAACTCCAGAGACTAAAATTCATTCTCAAACTTCCATAGTTGGATTCACATCATGATCCTCTTCAGCATCCCAATCAACAGACTCATATAACTCTTGATTCTCCTCAACACTAAAATCTGAAAAAATATTATGGTAGAGTAATCAATAAAGCCTAGTAGGAAAACTTTCTCAAACCAAAACAAGGTTTAAAAATCATAAAAATAGGTAAGTCACAGTTTTGTAAATAAATATATATAATTTTAAAGTAAAACAATGTCATTTAATGAGATCTCAAGTTTATAGTATAAAACGGAAGAGTTCATAATAGGATCAAATCATTCACAGAAACCACAATGCATAACATAATATCTCATGTTTGTAGATAGACTACTGTGAATCTACACACCAAACCTATCTCGTCCACCTACAACACAAACCATCTCAAATCAATCCCTACAGGGCCACAACACTTTAGGAATGGCGTGTACCGACATATCAGCATTGACGTATACTTGAAAGTATCTCTCCTACCCTTAGTTGGGCTTTTAGCAAGCCATAGAATAAGAACAAAAACTATAAAAGAAAAGATGGAAAAATAATAATAATCATCCCTCTTAACAAATAAGAGCCCTTATTTATACTAATAATCATGTCTCTCAACAATCGAAAATACTATAGCACCGGGGATACCCTTTCAAATCCACAAAAATAATTATTAATGATCAATTTTTTGAACTCGATTGAGAATCAGCTGAGGAGTGATCTCAATTGGAATATCTAGCGGTGATAATATAAAAACATCAAAAGTTATAATTAATGGATTACTTGAATAAATATAAGAATTTACTTCTAGGTCACAAGTATTCACCGTGCCTGGAGTCTACGATAAATCAAGTTTTTTAATAGGTAAACCTTATTTTATTGTAAATAATAAATTAAATATCTTATGAAAAATTTTAATTAATTAATTCAAGCATGAAATAACCAGTTATTTAACTCGCAGAGAATCTCAAGCATTCGATGTTTGTGGCACAAAAAATTAAAAAATTATACAGAACAAAAAATTTACTAAAACACAAGAATTAAATTAAAAGAATAAACCATATATTAAAAAGAACATTAAATAAAAAATAATATCTTGCTTCATTGAAAGTATCTCCCCTATCCTTAGTTGGACTTTTAGCAAGCCATAAAACAACAAAAACTAGAAAAGAAAATATAAGAATATAATAATAATCATCCACCTCAACAAGTGAGAGCCCTTATTTATACTAAAAATAGTCCTAGGTATAAGTAGGAGATATAGGATTGGCTTGAAAAAAATTCCTTTCCAAAAAGAAGTCTTTGAAAGTTAAATCTCGTGCACAAAATCTTGGTGGCGCGGGTACTAAATTTGCTCAGAATTCGAGCTCAATTTTGGCATAGTTAGAGGGTAATTCACAAAATTTTTATGAAATACACTTTTAAAACCCTTGAAGTATTCTTTCCAACCTTATAAAAATCAGGTCAATCGGATATCAGAGTCAAATACTCTGACCAAAATATTGAAGACGTGTCAAATCCGTATCTTCTACAGTACTTTCCTAATCTAACTTTAAATGAGTTTTCTTCTAACTTGGACTAGGATTAAATTGCTTTTTTTTTCTTCAATTTTTTTTATCTTAATCTTGTCTCTTCAATCCTTATTAATTATCTCTTTCTTCTAGTGATTGTTTCACTTACTTTATCCATTATTACTTTAAATCAACCAATTTACCTGCAAAATAAATCAAACAACTAAAAAAAATATCAAACTAGAAAATAAAAAGAATTTAACACATTTAATCACAAATAATATGCAATTAACTAATTATTAAATACAATAAAATAGCACATTTGATTATTAATCATCAATGAATGAATCTGAGAAAAAACCCCTATCTTGATTCTTGAAATCTTAATCCTAACATTGTGTTGTGATTACCACGTGTTAATATTTGATGATTCAGCCTTTTCTTCCTCATTTTCTTCTCCTCAAACTTTTATAGGGTTCTTGGGGTTTAAAAGATAGGTAACGACACTTTAGATCGCAACCCTATGGTATTTATAGGCTAAAAAATGAATAATTCTTGTGTGGGCGCGGGTCAGAGTCTGTACGTTATTTCCATTTAAATTTTTACCTAATTAGAAATCGATTCATGAAATTTATTTGAAATACACTTTGTAGACCTTGCAGTCTAGTTTCTACTGTAAACATTTTGGATCAATCGTACATTGGAGTAAAAAGTTA